CAGTCCCCAGAACTGCCCGGCCGGTGTCAAGCCAAGTGCCTCTGAACCAGTCAACTCCAACCAGGATGGCATGTGCCCTTGGACCTACGTTGAGTGTTTCGACCCCGACCGTATCCCGATGTCGATCAGCATGGCACAGTGTCAATGTTCAGCGTGTCTGGATCCTTACTCTCACCAAGCTGATCCTAACCTACGATGTCAACCCATCTTCCATTATATGAAGGTCCTGAGAAAAACCCAGTGTGTGGATGGTCTGTACCGATTCGAGGAGGAGACTGTCAAAGTACCGGTAGCATGTGGATGCATGAGGCAACGAGTTGCATAGTAAACATTGTAATTCATCGACAGCTTTAACCAAAGAAGAAACCCGACAGATTTGATGTTCTATCGTATTCCTCTTGTATAGATACGTATGCCTATTTAATACGAATGGCAACGTTATCTTATTTATCATAAGTAAATATTTATAAAGCATATCATAAGAAGAGGGCCTGTAAACTTTAATATTATCGCTGTGCTCACAATTGTATTTAATGTATTTAAACATTTTCTATTTTTCATATAACTTATCTATATGTAACTTATTTTCATACAAACCGTTACGGTATTCATGCAATCATTGTAAAGCTCACAACATTGAATATATTTGTATTCACATCAAACGTTTAAAGAATCCATATAGTTATCATAGAATTTGCTGAATTAGACATTATCTTGATTGTGGCTAAGCAAGTTTTTTTTTTTCTAAACGAATGTAGGTGGGTGTAAGTAACTTGTAAAATGTCTATTTAAAATAGTAATTTTTACCTGCAAGTGTAGTAATCAGCGATTCTTTTTGGTTCTAAATTTTGCGTAAGTTATATTTTTTCAAAATATGTATATTACCAGCATATTATAATTCCTATATATATATATATATGTCAAAGTGGTATGTGCGTTTTAGCACTTTTGGGTAATAATATTGTGTCGATTATTATTTATTATTTCTGACTTTTGCGTCACACTAAAACCATGTCAAGTTCGACAATGTACCGTATCCACTGAGTGGACAACATGTATAATTTGTTTTAAGCTGTGTTATACAGTTTCTTTATATTATAGGACAGTTATGTAACTTATTAGACTATTGGTGCCATGACTCATTGTATTTTATTTAAAAAATAAAGCAAAGAGCTTTGAAAGCCATCAAAAGGAATCGAATTATCTGTCTTTATAAGAAGAGAGAAATGATTAGAGAAGATATGGAAGTGAGTGTTTGTGCGATGGATAAATCTAGCGAACCCGAGAGTAAAACAATAAAGTCGATAGCGGACAACTGCGAAGATACACGTGAAAAGAGTCAAATTAGACGGGGCGGCGCGAGAGAGAGAGAGAGAGAGAGAGAGAAAGTAGAGAACGAAAGAGGGCAAACACGAGTTCTCAGTAGTAGTTCTAAAGCAGTTGGGGACTCAAGCCCCCCCCCCCCCCCCCCCCAAAAAAAAAAAAATAAAAAAAAATGGCATGCACATGTAGAAAATAACACCCATGCTCCCTAGATCCCCAACATAAACAAATTATAGTACAATGAAAAACAAAACAAAAGAAAGAACATCAATAAATAAACATATAAATGAAAATAAAATCAATCAATTATTTATACATAAATACTGGATACGCATATTTTGATGGATAGCAATAACATTTTCAAACCAAATAACGTTATTACTCGACAAAGCCCTAAGGGCGATAATTTTGTAAAACAATTTCTTCGTCTACGAAGCATATTTTTTAATTGTATTTTTGGATACATATACCCTCCTAGACCCCCTGTAAGGGATATAGAAAGAAATAAAGAGAGAGAGAGAGAGAGAGAGAGAGAGGGGGGGGGGGGGAGGGGAAGGGGGTGGGAGTTAGTGATCAGCAGTTCTGATCATGTTGATAGAAAGCGAAAGATAAAGAGTAAGATAAGCATACTCGACACTTAGTGAGGAGTCAACAAAGGTCAAAAGAACCCCATCATATTTAGTGATCATCTTGAATAATTATACAACTACTAGTACTACAAGAACTACTACTACTACAACTACTACTACTACTACTACTACTATTACTACTACTACTACTACTACTACTCTTACTACTACTACTACTACTACTACTACTACTACTACTAATACTACTAAGACGGCTACTTATACTACCGCCGATGATAACAATAATAGCAATAATAACAAACCGATAACAAATATTAAAAAATATACAAATCAAAATTGTTTCAAATCAAACGTTTATGTCCTGGGGTGGGGAATCATTAGCTTCTAAGCATCTTGAGAGAGTTGATTCCTTTGATATATACACTTTTTCTAATTTATGCCGCTTTTTTAGTTTAAGGTAGACTATAAGAATCTTTAATTGTTCAAAACTGCCTACGTCATTCATTATTTCAATACAACTATAAGACCGTCAGGAAACACATCTTTCCATTGAACTACAGCTCAATTTCAATACAGTAGATCTAAAACATGATCGTGCATTTGTGCAAAGCGCACGTGCTTCTCGATGCATTACTTGACCCAATATCCTATTCGTCACCTTGCATCCCCCTCGTCAAAAAAGCCCAATATGGTCAAACAACACTACTATCATAAAAAAATAACCGGTTTAGAGCTTCCTCGTCACCATTACCACCCCCTTTATTACCCACTCATTAGATATCAAGACAGGATGTATTATTGTGTACAACTGATAATCCTAATATCTTGCCTCTCTCGTTTAATAAGAATACCCTAATTGTTCCCTCCATCACCATCCACTCCCTCATCAAACAAATACAAGATAGTCGAGCGAAACGACTGCTAAAGTGCTAGATTAAACATTTCCAACACAGTTCATCGCAATTGAAGAGATTATTACGACTCGCCCCTGTATTAAAGAAATGCTCCTTTTTTCCCCCGGCATCTCCCATTTAAAATAAAACCACGAGGAAAACTTCCCCATAGGTTTTCAATGTCAGAGTCACTACCTAGTAACATATTAGTTTGACAACACTTCCACATCAAAATTACCGTGAGACACGAATAAAAGGAAACGAAAATGAAAAAAGGGTCCATTGATGGATAATTCAATGCCTTAAATGACTGTGATGGTATGCTCTTCTCGAAGTGAGGTTTTGAAGGCAAACGATCTTTGGTAAACATATCCTTAAATACTGTTGTTACTAGCTCTTGCGTACTGCATAAATGGCAAGATCTAACTAGGGGGAAATGATCATAAAATAGTAATTAGAATAACAATATGTAGATATGCAATGCAAAAAAAAAAAAAAAATCAGTTAAAGACTATTCAAATAAAAAAGTGTTGGTGTCACATCTGATGCATATTGATCCTGGTTATGCCAGTGTTGGCCTTTCTTGCATATATATATATACAACATGTACACATTTGGACTAAGATTCGTTGCCATCTTGTATGTTTACGAATCATAATTGTTAACCGTTATTCGACATAGGTGTATGGAAATGTTGTTATATCTGTATTTAGTTTGACGATTTCAATTTCACTCTCTGAATAAACCCCCTCTTTCTCTTTCTCTATATCTCATTCCCTCTTTCTCACTCTCTTTCTCTTTGTTCTCTTACTATCTCCCCATATTTCATTCTGTTGCTCTGGTTCTTACATATATCTGAACGTATATACAAACTCACCGGATATCCCCCACGCCCCTTCTTTCTTCCTCGTTTCATTGACATTCACTGATTCACCGGTTCATGCCACGGTTAAACAATTGCATAATTATTTATGTATTCATATCATAAACCACAAGAACAGCATGTGTTCGAATTCCATGAATAATCGAGAAATATAGTTTATTTAAATAGATAGATAGATATATAATTAATTCTCTTCTTCCATTAAAAGAAGAAGCTTTCCTTCCAGGTGATCATACATAAAACTACACAACTTATACCAAATGTATAATATAAATACAATCATATAAAAAAAAAATTAAAAATATAAATAACAATCAATGTATTTGCATGTAATACACTTCAAAAATAATTATCACAATGCTATATTCGGCGAACAGCCTTTCGGAAAACATCATTTGTTACAAGCGATCCACTTAGTGGATACGATAATTCGTCAAACTTGACATGGTTTAAGAGTACAGTGTTTGCAAGACAACATTGCTTATGCACCTGTGAGTGCTAAAATGCACAACAAGATTATTATATTATATATACATGTATGAATACGTTGAATATACATTATAAATATATTAAACCAATTCAAAATTAATCTGCGATGAAGCACGAATCGCTATCGTCTAATAACTTTTAGTTTATAAGTAAAACAGATCCAAACTAAACACAAAATGGCTTTGAATCTTAAAGAAACCTATAGTTATGTAAAGCAACAATTATTTGAAAATGCAGAAAATATCTTTCGAGCATGGTAATCAAGTAAATAGAACAATTAGTGGCTCTGAGAGTTTGCTAATAATAGCCTTAAATTTCTTTTCGTATGTATACAGTAGTTATACATTCTATGGTCCATAGACTATGATAGCTTTCCGTAATTTTCAGGAATCTAAACAAAAAATGCTAGAGCCAGTCAACGATAAATTACATACAAATTTGAAATTTAACAGAAAATATCTCTCTGTTTTGATATGCTCATAATTTTGGGTATAACATGACGAGAACAATCATGCTCAATAGTATAGTATATTGATTTGTATATGTATGCACTTCATACATACCTGCATAAATCGATCCCCCATTCTTCTTCAGAACCTTCATATAGTTCATTCAAATAGTAAACATAAACAAATATGTACATTTTTCCTTGAGGGAAATAGTAATATATTCTTTTTTAAAATATAATAAGTTAAAAGGTTATACTGTAAATAAGTTACCATCAATAATATAAATATTAAATAGGAATACAAATCAATACTACAATAATACTGTATTAGTGTACTTTCAACAATGATCATGATGAAAATAACAAGGTGTAGACGTTTCTTCTTTGGTATTTTCGACATATTTTTTGCCGAAGTGGAGGCCGGATTATGCTACTCGTTGCCTCATGCATCCACATGCTACCGGTACTTTGACAGTCTCCTTCTCGTATCGGTACAGACCATCCACACACTGGGTTTTTCTCAGGACCTTCATGTTATGAAAGATGGGTTGACATCGTAGGTCAGGATCAGCTTCGTGAGAGTAAGGATCTAGACACGCTGAACATTGACACTGTGCCATGCTGATCGACATCGGGATACGGTCGGGGTCAAAGCACTCAACATAGGTCCAAGGGCACGTACCATCCTGGTTGGAGTTGACTGGTTCAGAGGCACTTGGCTTGGCACCGGTCGGGCAGTTCTGGGGGCTGGAAACGCCATCGTATGGGCAGCTTGATGTCTCTATCCTACCAATATCAGCATCTGAAAGATTGAAGCTCTGAAGGGCAAAGGCATCTTGATTAGGATAGACAAGATGACCGTTCCTCTCTCGTGATTCGTAGTCGGCTTGGTTCATAGGAAGGCAATACTGTGAAGAAGATGGTACCGGTGAAGATGTGACAGCGTGAACGAGGACGACCATGAAAATGAAAACCTGTTGCGAACAACAAAAAAAGGAAATGACACCGTGAGCTTGGAACTTTATTCAAGTTGACATTTCAAGTTTTATTACTTTAATATAATACAGAAATTTGTTTTGCAAAGGTGTTTCATGTGATGTAGAGATGTCGTGGTCGAGTGAATACGTCACCAGACTGTTGATCTCATGGTCCGCGGTTCGAGTCCCGCTGCGGCACTAATGTCCTTTGGCAAGACATTGATCTACATTTGCTACACTCAACCCAGGTGATGTAAATGGGTACCTGGCACTCTGGCAGGAGTTAATTTCATGACATGCTGGAGCGCCGCAATGGCAGCGATATGCTAAAGCGAGGGGAATTATTTTGGAGCGCCAGGAGTGTTAAGTCTGACAGACATGAACGCTATACAAGAACAAAATACTATTATTATTGTTATTATTATAAAATAGAAACATATTAAATTGAAGAAAAAAACAGTGGCATCGTTTGCTGTAAGCCAAGAGGGCGTTATTTTTTACTATATTGTATTCCTTTTTCTTGTATTATTTTGTATAAACACATTGGTTTTGTAACTTCCCTGAAACATTATTTGTATGTCCTTTTGACAGATGAATCAATAAATTAAATTCAATTAACTTCATATTGTAAACAAATGTACGTACCTTCATTTTTGAAATGTTGACTTTTGCTGAAGTATCTGGGAATCTCGATGTAGCCAGCTTGGTTTGGTATTTTTCAGGTCTCTTCTTTGCTTTTAAACAATTGAATACCGTTTCTTTCAATCAGCTGCTTGTAATTTTATCAGGTGTTAATTCAGGAAAAAACTTCACACCGTGTTCTTCAACTAGCTGCTTCTTTCACTCTCAAGCGTTTCCTAATGCTGATGCTTCCAAATAGCTTCTTTTATACCCTTACCCTGTTATTTTATGCATTTCTTTGCCGGAAACATATTAGATCAAATCTTTTTCTTGGTCAGGGAAAATAGCGGATTTGGGACTAAGTTCCAACGAAGTAAACGGTAACGATTTCCGCTCTCAGGCGTTAGCCAATGTTTTGAAATACCAGCACACCTATTTCTGCTAGGATACACCTGTATAAGTGACTCATTCAATTCAAGGGGAATCCCTGGTAAACACTGTATTTTGGACCTTTGATCATTAGATGTTTGCTGGATTGTTTGGTTTAAAGGTCATTTCAGATTTTACCCGACGCTCGATAGTTTCATTGTTTCCCAAATGAGTCCAAAGTCCATATTCTATATACAGACATTCATACAGGTCAATGTCCAATCTAACTATGTACTATTTTGGTCTAAATAAAGGAAATCGTACCATGGTTACCGAAGATAATATGGGTCTGCAATTTCGTAATTGTTTAATTTGTTTTCTTCTAGACCCAAAGATATACAAACATTAACTTGAATTGAGAACAATTTCTTTGCCACTACGGACTACCTTACTTATACAATCATGATTGTTTTTGCGGTTTGAAACTGTAATAATCGTGCAGACAAAAGTGAATACACAGGATAACAGGTATGTCACAGGTAGCTAGGCTTTTGCGGAATTAATCTATTTGGAGATCTCCCGGTATGAATTCATATCCTGATTAATTTGATGCTTTTCTCTGAAACCATTCATCGAAACCCTGTCGATTAGGCCAGCGTTTGACGTCAAATAAAGTACATTATACTTTTTTTAAGTGGAAAAAAGGAGTAATTTTAAGTGGAAAATTTTGAGAGGAAAATCAGTGCTAAGGGGTCTATTTTTAGCCATATGGCCTGTCCACTTGATCGGGTTTTCAGAAAAGTTCTTGTTTTGCGCAATACCGTAATGTATGATGTTTCCCATAGCATTGTATAATAAGTTATTTTTTCTACTGACAAAAAACTAAAACAATGTATTAGTAACGATTTTCTCAGATTTTAAAATCTTCAAAGGTATAATTTTGAATATATCTTGAGAAAATGGCAATATGGCAAAGTTCATTGGAATTCGTATCAAGCTAACTAGTGCCATCCATTACTTAATTTGTGAAATTTGTTTTCTTCAGTCGAGAAACCTCACAACGTAGGGATAATTTTGAATATATCTTGAGAAAATGGTAATATTCCAATTCATTCCATCAGCTAAAAGGTTTATAAGAATACGTATTGAGCTTACTAGTGCCCTCCCCTTAATTCGTGACTGTTTTCTTCTTAAGACGAGATACGTCACTAAACTGAAGGAATTTCGAACCATTTGATTTTTTAGAACAAAAGTTACAACTTTGGCTAGAATAGCATTAAGTTATGCCAAAATATTAATCAAATCTTAAAGGTAAAGACCAGTATTGGAAACGCCCCAATTTCAAAAAATGAAATGGAAGCTCTCATTACCAATCATGTGAATGAATATGTTTTGACTAATACATGATGATAGAAAATTTGCCGGGAAACCGCCTACTAATTCATATATTTGGTAAATTTGTTTCTCTCATGGTCTGTGAGAGATATAGGGTAGTCCCATATACATCTTTCTGTGTATAGTGCTTGTAACTTTACGAAGAATGGGCCAAATTTCTTATCATTTTGATGATTCGAGAACCTTGCAGATGCTAGATGCTAGATGATCAACCTTTTCTGATCGATTCCACAACGTTTCTTTCACAATGCAATCGCATGACCATAACTGGTCTTTACCTTTAACTATTGATGGCTCTTGATATTTCAAGTAAACCAAGACCTTTCTTTTAGGTGATTGTATCATAACTATAAATAATTTAAAGACCACCTTAACGTGGAAATCAGATTTAGCCGATAAGATTCATTTTAGCATGATACCCGGATCGTCGCTTTCCAGTTTGTCTTAATTATGAGGTTTGATAAAACGTCATACATCATTATGATTCCAACACGTCGAAGAATGCAATACAGCTTCAGGGCGTTGAAATATGGGACAAAGCTGTCCACCTCCCCTTGCCCTCACCTTTTTTGTATTTAGGGCGTAGACCTTCTCCTTCATTTTTTTGTTACGCCCAACACATAATTGTTATAAATATGTATGAATGCCTTCTTTTTCAAATATGATGAGATACTTCCATAATTTCTGTTTAATAGTCGAATGTCCGGAACTATATGAAGATCAGAGCCATAATGTCCATGACTCTAAATATAGCAAGAACATAAAACAATAATAAACCCACCAGATCACTTTGAAGCAAACATGAATTTATCTGAAGAGCACATAGAGTTAACAACTAAATTATCATTACCCTTCCCTTACCAAGTTTTGTATTGAAATTTCTTTTTTGATTTGTCTCAGTTTATATTTCTTGAGCGTGTGAAATATTACAGCTTACATGTAAATGTTAAAGTATTCAACACAAGCTCTAATTCACTCAGTCTACCTTTCATTCTTGAGCTACAAGAAACACACACTAACAAAATCAAATTAACAGGCGGTATCAATAATTTAGTTGTTAGGTCTATTTTCCTTGGCAAGCATTTTGCCTGGTCAAAACATTCTTTTTATAAACATATACTGTATATAAAAATCAAGTCGGAAGATTTACAAACATATTTATGAATAAAATGACCTTTACATTCTAACGCCGGGTATATAAACATTGACACAAGTCATGGTATTGAAAGTGAGAATGCATAATCTGTCATCAAATGTCTCATATTAATTTGTAAGCGAAACCAATATATGGTAGAGCAGTGATAACTGGTCGAAACTATATAGCACACCATTGATGATACAGGCATTAATATGCATAATGACTTTTGACACAGTCGGCAGCAATTATATGATCGACATCAAACTAAATCTGAAAGTATATTGTCATACATCATTTATCGACAGGAACATGAAGTTCGATATGTTTACCCGATGTTTTGTCATAAGTTATAGTATTGTTTCATTCTTTCCATTTGCGTCTTTGTTCAACTGATTGAGTGAACCAAGCGATCCTCGTTGCTCATCAGGTAAAACTTATTTCAATGTGTGTGATGTTTATACCTTGATTAAGTATTTTCTGCAGTGCAATTACAATGTGATTTCTGGAAATGCAAAGTAAAAGAAATGTCTTACAGGTTACAAGTATCAACATTTCCGCAATATGTAAGTTCCTCCTGGTACTGAAGAAGGGTCAAAGGTGACAACATTCTGCATTGACCAAGAGGCCTACATCCCGCGTCATATTCGAAAACGGGCTAGCAATATCCTTGTCTTTTCATTAAAATAATGACATGACTATGTAAGATGTGCTTTTTCGTAGATGAAATGTTTACGGTGTTATTATTATCATCTGAAATCTGCCCATGCTAAATCAGAATCTGATGTCAAAACTGACTAGAGTGTTTCAGACCCAAGGAGATGACGGGAGTCATGCGTAGTCAAGGGTTCAAATAGGTACCTTCACAGAAGAAAAATAGACACAGAATTATAAATACCTTGTTTTCAGAAATTATCCATGTTATACAGCGAGTTTTAATTAATGATTGCACCAATATGGGTTCAAAGATCAGGGCGGAAGGGCGTACCAACTGATACGATCATGACGATATTGATTATTGCAAAAAATAATCTTGTTTGACCTTTCCTCCCATCCGCTACAAACTGCCCAGCCTCTTTCTGTTTTCATATTTGTATTCTCTCTCTCTCTCTCTCTCTCTCTGTTATTCGATTTCTGTTATGTGTTATGTGTGTGAGTTTGTGTATTTTTTTATGGGGGGGGGGGGGGGTGTTTTAGTCATAATCGGAGATTTCGTTCAATGATTTTTTTGTTTTGATTGGTTCTCAGATAATATAATTAAAGTGGATTGTTTATGTAGTTTATGGAGCATTTTCTCAGCTAAGATTAACATGCAATTGTTTTCTTCTGTTTGAACTGTTTCTAGGTTACTGTACTCAAAATGAATTGTTACGTATGATTGATGCATAAACAAATAGATCAATCAAGAATATTGACCAACAAAAATTTGTTTCAGATGCCGAGTTCGTTGGATGCTACCTCCGAGACTGCATACTGCAGGAGTACAGCCATCCCTCCAGCAGGATGGACATGACCTATTGTTTCCACCTATGCAGCGACAGGCATTACATCCTTGCAGGGTTGTTCGATGGCAATACCTGTCTATGTGCCTGTGCCATATCCTGCAATGCGAGTCTATCAGACGCCAAGGATCGGTGTGGTATTCCATGCGCTGGGAACGTCGGCGAGTTCTGCGGCGGTAGAGAGGCCGTGCAGACCTATAGAGGTAAGTAGGTGAGGGGGAAGGGGATGATGCTCATTTAATTTTGTTTAGCTGTTTGTAATTGCATAACGATCAAAGTGAACAATTATTTGCAGTCTTCTACAAGTAATCGTAGTAGTTGTGGTTATTTTACCTGACTGCTAAGAAAGCATAAATGCTTGTTAGTAAGCAACCAGAGGACCGACGGCTTTAGATCCTCTCCGAGGGACCTATCTATCGTGGTTTACTCATGTGTTTACTTGTAAAGGTGGGTCTGTGGTGACATAAAAATGAAATACTGGACGACACCTACCTTTATTATTAAATAAATTTAATTGCTATATAGATGAGCTATAAGATTATCAGAAACTCGGGAATTAGTGGTTTACACATAGAGAAGCCTATCGGGTTAATACCTTTTGTCACTCCTATATATTAATAGTCAAACCAGGATACACAATAATTATATGTTCATTATCTTTGTATTGTTCTCTCTGCCCAGCTAACACCCCTTCTGGAACAGAGGAAACGTGCCAAGGGGTTGTAAAAGGTACGTCACCTCTTTATTTGTGACGATTCTTATGTCTGTCCTCGAAAGTTCAAGTGTTTTAAACCCGTGGTGTGCTAGTTCTCATTTTTCACTAGAGTGCCGTGACCATTTGAGTTCAAGTAAATTCAGTATATTTAAATGTACTATGTTCAATTTGCAGGCCCAACAAAATGAAAAGATTAAATTCCAACGGCATTTGAAGGTAAATACTAATTTAGAACTTCCCTAAAAAAAAAAAAAAAGGGGGGGGGGTTGAAAATGTATTGAAGTGGGGATAATAAAGAAAATTAGTTGTCGAATCGACTTAAGAGCTATAGAGCCAGTAAGTAATAGTCTGATTTTCAGACCATTGTACCCAATGGTCGTACGTTTTATGCTGCGCAAAGATTCAATCAGTTTAATTTTGGCCATTACAAGAAGTGGGTTATTGATGTAGACAAATGCTCATGTACCCTTTACAGCTAATTTTATATATGTTATTACCAAAGAAAAAAAAAGGCCAGTCAGTCACTCAGTAGTGTCTGACAGAGAAGTCTAGCAACTAAATGGGTTTCCTTGCATCATTTGAATATTAGGACACTGCTAATGCAGATATGACATACATGACATATTCATAATTCCTGCAAAGTTCTACAGAATTTGAAGTTGGCTGCAAATGGGACATAGTATCTTTAAATTCTCATATATCATTATTATTTATTAAAAAAGTATTATTATGATTATTACTATTATTATTATTATTATTATTATTATTATTATTGCTATTATTATTATTATTATCATTATCATAATTAGTATTATCATTATTCTTGTTATTATTTATATTGATATTGAATATTTGCTCACAGTAAAATGACAAATGTCAGCTCTTAATTAAATAATATTATTTTTTTAAAGCAATCAAAGTGGTATTATATACGGGAAATAATTTGCACAAATATTCTATGTAAAATTATGACATTGAAACCGCATACATTTCCACAACTACAGCCCACGAGACAAATATTACAGGGGACCGACAACTCGCTAGATCGACAGTCTGTGAGACCAACAAACACGAAAATGTCATTTTCCTAGACTCCTGGCCATTTTGCAGAGTTTTCACCAGACCGACGGCCATCTGTTATGTATTTCTATTTTCTGTCGGTTTAGTGGGCTGCCGGTCTCGTGGGCTGTCAATCCTGCTGGCCTACTGGAATGACACAATATTCTAAATTGTCTACATCGTTATCAACATCATCGATCATCATCATCATCATCATCCTCAAATGCCAGATCTGTTACAAATATCGGCGATAAAGGCCCGCCCTGTATATTATCTGCTATTCTCAAAAAGCTGGTATTGCTGATTTCATACTTGTTGCCCACTTGTTCAGGGTTTGCGAAGATTTAAGGCGTTGCCGTCTCTTGCTCAACTTTCCTGCAATCTTCCCTGTCTCTTGCATTTCTCTCTTTCTTATTGTGTTTATGAGTGATGATTTTACTCTTGCTTGTCTACATACTTTCATTTTGTTTATCCTTAAAACAAATTCAATAATAGGTCAATAAAAAGTATATTACTAGATTGAATAATCAGCGTAAAGTTTCTATGAGTGAATATTTGAGTATTACTTATTGCACTATACGTATTGTTCACTGAATTCCACTGATTTAATCCAAATCCGAAATTTTGTTTCAACATATTCCCTCTCACAGTAACAGCGCCCTCGTCATCGTTGCCATCTCAACCCGACAGCACCAGTTCCATCTTGACTGAACCTGCTAAAGTTGCCAACCACACTGGCCTGCCCAGTACGCCAGCACCAGTGGTGCTTGTTCCAATACTTGCATCTGTTCTTGGTGTGATAATGGTTATCGTAGTAGGAATTATAATCGTTATCATAATTATGCTGCAGGAAAATGCCATCGAGAGGGTTTTCAGGAAAAGGTGCCATAGGGAAAGAAAGAAAAGGATCAACGACGGATCGGCTCGAAAAACTCGATCAATCAGAGGGCTACCAACCTCTAAACGCCGCTCCTCCTTTACCCTTGGCATTGGTGGCTCCTATCAGCGCAGGTGCTTCTCAGATCATCCGAGCTGATCGTCTAGGAGGTGGGAAACCAGAGGGTGGGCAACATGGGGTCCTTCCTTGCAAAGTACATCCTGGCGAAGCCTCAAGGTCTTCTCAAGACCCCCATCGTCCGCCCTGCATACCCGAATACAACATGAATCTCAAGAATGATGACGAATTGATGGGACATCTCTACTGTGACATAGATAATGTTCAAGGTCCTTCTCCCATGCTTACTGCTACTAGCTCCCCCTTAGGCGATTATGTAGAACCCGGCGGATTCGGCGGTAACTCAGAGGCTGCCACTCTTTGTCCTGGTGAACCAGGGACACAAGGTGTAAAACCTCCTGTTGCTGGTAGCTTGTCCCCAGTAACAGAAGACGAATGCCTACATCCAACTTATGACACTAAAATGCATGTTTGTAAGATGCATCGTTCCTCTTCTGTTTACAATGAGTACGAGACGAAGGTACACAAATCAGTCCCATCACAAGACTGATTATTCCCAGACACTTTCAATCTATTTTCTTTCAAATGCAACTCGTAACAGTATGTGACAATAATATATCATTTTATTCATGAAGACGCCGATAATAATGTTTTCGTTCGTTGAGAAGACAAGATCAAAATGTTATTATGTAAAATTGTGTTTTCCTCAACTCACTAAACTGTGAATGAATGTAAATAATGTGAGAATAGAGACATGTCTATATATTTGTTTTCAGAATATATCATGCTTTCCCAAATAAAATCTCGGTATTTGTACGCTATGTATGATAACAGAAAAACAGTAAATGTATGTTAAGATTTCTAATCAGTCCAGTTGAGATATCAATTAAGACCTACATTAGAAAAACAGATTTTTTTTTAGGGGTAAAGATTAAAACTTTGTTTTATAGTCAAAGATATTGCTTTTTATAAAACGTAATTGCTGTACAATACAAAACAAAATTCTTCTTTTAAAAATTCATGTGTGAATGGCGTGATGCTTCCAGCAAGTAAAACACATAATATCAATTGTATAATAATTGCACTTGTCAAAACTGGGGGGGGGGGGGGAGGCATATATCATCAATTTTCCCTTTATGACTTTCGGTTAGAGAGGCATAATAACAGAGGCAATTATCATTATATACCATACTTTATCAGGTACTGGCATGTTATTTCATTAAGAGTCAATATGCTCTTGTACAGCTGCTCTGCATGATGGTAATGCTTTTGTTGAAGAATAATCAGAATTGTGTCTGAGTCTGTCTCTTAAAAAGTTTTTTTGAGAATTACAAAGTTATGGCTTACACTGAAACTATACCCTATTCATGACAATTTCCGTGAATTGAAAACCACGCAGTGCAAACATGGCACAATTAATATGCTGTAGATCTAGATGTAAATATTTATCCTTCATTCATTCTCTTCATTACAATAAACGCCAGGTGAAATACAAAAAGAAGTGTTTTACTAGTGTTCTTTGAAGTTTAAAGGGTGCAAACGGACAAAGTATGTCAACGAAATATCCAGCTTGTAAATTAAACTTTGTTTAGAAGGACTTACATTGACCCCTCCCCTTATATAATTAATTGATACGCCAAAAGCTTAATAGTATTGTTTCAGTGATGTCTAGTGCATGTAGTAGAACTGAACCATCAAATCCAATTTCAATTTTTCAAATATTCAGTGTCTTGAGATCAAAATAATCTGCCAAATATATCTATCTATAAAAGTCGATATGTAAAGATATCTATATTTTCTCCCAGCTCCATCTCTTATTGCAACATTTTCCCACACAACTCTGTGTTATGGCATTGTAGTACACTTTTGCAATGTCATTCCGCACTATGTCTTAATATGTGTCCCTCCCATTGAGTTCTTCGTTTCCTTGTTGGTCTGTTGGTCTTCAAAATATAGACAATATAATTATCGATCATGACTCTACTAGATTGCGGGAAATGTAAGGCTATTGCTTCCATCAGTTAATTGCTTGATTAGGCTACAGTGATGGCATTAAAAAAGGTGTCACATTACTCAATGTAATTTCCGAAGTTAGTTGAGAGATAAGATGATAATAAATTATTCACAATATTCTTTCGTGAAGTAAATAGTGAGGGTCACAATCATAGAGCTGTAGCTCTTTGGTCACAATACATCTACATCCTGTGATTTCCTTTATGGGGAGGGGGCGGTGGCGGTGCTCACAAATTCAACGCAGACCGGGAGCCAAATGTTTGGGAAAAAAGCGGCTCCCGGTTCTTACATTTTTGAAAGAACCGGGAGCCATTTTCCAATAATAGGAGCCATTTCCAAAATTAATGAAAACACATATTCTTTAAAAAATTATTTGTCAACCGTTATCTTGTATTCATTCATTAGTCTACAATGCACAGCAGTGGTAGCACAGTACTATCGGCCAAGGCATCCTCATACATACTAATGAGTTAGAAGTTATATACAAGCCTTTAGATAATAATTCCATGTCCATTATAACATAAGCGACTATTAAATGCGGTACCTTTACTTTATTTTGAAGCTCACGGGGCTACTTTTTCCATGTAGGCAGCTACTCTTTTCAGGGGCTACTTTTTTCTTTGTGATCTAATCCCATCATGAATGCCGCAATCGTCATATGTTTTTCATGAATAGAGGTGTAAAATCAAAGCTTGTGAAAGTTTCTCGAACAAGAAAAAATAATTCTTCCAGACCGGGCGCCCGAAATGAAAAAAGACCGGCGCCCGGTACTCATTTGTCCCGTCTTACAGGCCGCCAAAAGTCAGGGACCGTTGGGTAAAAATCCCGGTTAAAAATCGCCCGGCTCCCTGTTAATGAGTCACAATACACCATCACGAAAATCTACAGATCTGAACATTTTAGCCAAGTAAGCTATAGTAATGGAATACTTGTATAATACTATAAGGATACTTCTTCTGCGAATACAGTTTAGCACACTGTACTCTGTCTGCAGGCAGAGAATCTAATCTGACACTTTACCACACTGTTATGAAACCGTGATCAGAGCCTAGATCTGTCAGTTTCCGGCCGTGTCATATCACGTGAGCAGCTAAAGTACATTGGCTATTGTAGTCTCACAATGCAGACACTGCTACGCTCAACAATGGGTGAGAGTTTTTGCCTTCAGACTACTCAATACTTGAGTCGTTCGTGCGTAAATGAATAATGACATCACTCAAGAGCATGACAATTAAATCATTTTACTTTCGATTTACTAATTGAATCTTGACCTCAGTATGTTATACATCTATCTGGCTTGAAAACAAAATGGAGTTACTGCAAAGCTGTCTCCTATATTGTATTTGTATTCCCTTAGGCTTTTGTCAAGGCGATAATTCTACAAGTGGAGAAGGTGAATCAAATTGCGATGGTCGATGCTCATTGAGTAAGTATTACTTTACAACTTTATATCATCATGCTTGTAGTAAGGTTATCTGTATGCTCGGGCTTGCGAATCTTTGTCTGAAGCAAAGGATCGTTATAGAGTATCATGTGTGGTGTTCGTGCACATGCATGTATGATTATATATCACAATCACAGACATGTAAACATGTCACTGTCACATTTGCAAAACAAAAGGGAGATAATACTTTGGACAACTTTCTATAGTATTTGTACAGCTTCCAAAGAAATCACATCATGATTTATGAACGGGTTGTTCAATACTAAATACATTTCAATGTCCATGATGTAAGAGTTTTACTAGACATTTCTTGACGTTTCCCAATTTCGATTCTTTTGTCTTTGTTGATAGAATGCACTGTTCAAGATTTGCACTTGTCATCTATTATGCTCGCCAAATGAAAAAAACAATGGGTCACCACGATCCACTTTTCTGAAATGATGTGACTGTCTACGATTTCAAATTTCCAAACAGGGAGTCGACTGATGTGGACCAGCTCAATTAAGGTTATTATTATTAGAGCATGTGTAATACTTAGTCTATGGTGTAAAAAATATTATGCTATCATTATTGTTATAGTTGGTGAATACGTCGGGTGTTACGGCATAGGCTGCCTGCAACGAGATCACAATGTAACCTTCAGAAACGGGCGCATGAATTCTCCCAATAATTGTATCACGGCCTGCGAAGAGAGAGGCTTCGCCTTCGCCGCCACCGTCTCCGGGATGGAGTGCTCTTGTTCGTGCCCCAATGGAGAGCAGGGGTGCTTGGGGAGGTCCCTGGAGGACAGTAGGTGTGGTTTTCCCTGTGTTGCAGATCGTGACAGCTTCTGCGGAGGTTACATGACCATATCTTTATACAAAGGTGAGACAAGTGGTCCCTAAACTCAGGCAATACATTTTGACAACATGATCCTAGCCAAATAATGCTTCTCATAAGAGCGATGTGGTACTAATCTGCTTTATGTATAAAGTTCATAATGTATCACCTTTAGCAAACTTTAGCAAATGACTCTATCTTACACATTGAAGGGACATTCGTCAGTACTCAAATACTATAATAGCTATTAATTCAATTGCACCTATACAACTGGATGGCAACAATATTTTGGGATAGTTGGTCCGCCAATGTCACATAATTATTGTCTTGTCAGCGGCGCATGATGTAGACAATTCGTACATCATCCGCCCTCCCCGACAACATGGGAAAACGAAGCCTAGTATAATATGAACAAAAGTCGATGAAGAGATTTCTGGACTTAAGGCACATCGTTTTCCAATTCGGAAGGTACACAACAATGAATTAATCCCCCAAAATAGTCACCTGTACTTTTATGTATTAATTAACGTTTCAATTCAAGGTTTATAACTCGTTCTATTTTATTTCACTTTGCAGTGAATTCTTCAGGTTCACCAAACGTGGTTTGCAAGAACAAGATTTCAGATCAAGATGCTAATCAAGATGAAGGATCCATTGCAACGTCCAGTGGTGAGTGATAATTAGTCATTTGCATACCAGGACTTCATATTATAATCTTAAGTACCACTTATTGATATAAATATTGACATGAACTTACTGCATGCAATTTGCTGTGATCAGAGTAGTTTAAAGATGACCAAGATAGCATGGCCTCATGCAACGAAAACTAAATAAATGCAAGATAAATAGAATGTTCTTAGAGGTGTTAACAAGAAATAAAATGAATCATGCACTTTGGCAAGCATTATTTTGGTGCTTTTGTCCACAAACAATGGATATTAACTGGTTTTCGTATATTTTTTCTGAACTATAGTACATGACGATAATATTTTCCTCAAAGCCCGTCTAATATCTTGATAACATAAGATCCATGTTACTTTAAATAATTTCTGACTGATAATTATCACACTTCATCATAATACATGTACATCCTTTTTTGCTGTCTCCAGAAGTGTGAAATGTTTGTTTTCTATATCACCTCTTCTTCCTTACACTTCCTTCTCTCTTTACAGAGGCTCCATCAAATCCATTGGTTCTTATTGTCGTCCCAATCTCCGTTGTGGTAGCCATTGTCATGATCTCAGTTGTTGCAGGCGTATTGGTACGTCGGCGGCTAAGGCATCCTGCGGAGGAGCCTGTAACAACTGTGAAAATAACTAAAAAAGACAGTGAAACTAGCGACAAAGAACGTTACCGAATGAACATTAAGGATAAACATGTTCAAGACAGAGATTCTCGAGTGGCAACTGGAACACAATATCAGCCGCTGAATGCGATGCCAAAGCTTCCAGATATTCCTCAAGCAGATGTTACAACAACGGCGTCACCAGGTACAGAAGTGAGTGATGGCCTCTACGAAGACCCTGACCATAGGGAATGCTCTGTACCTACAGCAGATATCGTATTGGCCCACGAGTATCTGGTCTCGGGCCAGGAGGCTCCATCAAGGAGCAGATCATCTGACGAGTACCACGAGTACAACTACCCTGAGATAATCCAAAGTAAACTCAAGGATCCAGTTAGTGCTAGCATAGAAGGTGACGATGGGTACATGATTGCAGAACCTGGTATTCAAGACTCGCCAAATCCTGGATCGAAGGTGTATTAT